CTTCAGGGGGACTATAGGGTCTAGGGTTAAGGGCAGGTGTAGGAGTGAGGGTTTAGGGTTTAGGTTGCGGTGGTTAAAACTTCAGGGCTTATTGGGGAGGCTTTCATTCTTGGAACGCACCCAAATGAGGTGCATGGTTGCAAGGTTGCACCAACATGGGGCCCAGGAACTGCAAAAAAGTGTCACCTTGTTCAATAACACATGGATTGTTCTTAAAATTGCGGGCCCCATGGTGATGAACCATGTTACGGCACCTAATATTTAAGGATACCAAACTGGGACCCTAATTTTCGGAACTACCAACATGGCTCTTCTAAGAATGATGCTCCAAGAAGCGCAGAGTCTGACAGTAGAAAGGGACGCCCATAATTGCAACATGGATGTATAAGATAGAATATGGCTTTGGGTATTTTATGATAAGATCCCCATATACCCCATAGGCCATAGTCCATCTACTTAAGGGGGACTGTAGGGCACGGTGCAAAGAGAGACTCACCTTCTCCCCCAATTCCACGGTCACTTCCATCCCAAGGAGGAAGCCATGGTCAAAGCCAGAACCCAAAGCCCCTGAACTCTAAACCCGAAATTCTGCACCCAAAAAGCTCAAACAGCAAATAGTAGTTTCCGTTTTCTTTTCCATTATCCCAAAATGTCCCCAATTTTACTCCTGGATATATCTCCCCTATACTCCCTATAGTTCCATTTAAGTTATTTTCCGTTATCCCAATATACCCCCAACCTTATCCCTAGATATCCCCTATACTCCCTATACTGTCAATTTCTATTTTCCATTATTTTTCCCAAAAAACCTACACCAGCGGCCGTGAGCCCCACTGGGGGCCAGGCGCAGGGGAGACGAACTGGATGAAAGCATCTGCAGCACGGTAGCACCTCAGAGGGCGCAGAGTTCCTAAGCCTAGGGCTTCAAATGGCCCAATGTAGTGTGGTACTATTCATTGGCATTGGGCCCCACACTAGGTATTATCTATAGACATGGAGCCCAGTTTAAAGCTGATGCAGAAGGCATCTGAATCAGACATCACACGTTTGGCACAAAAACAGCCGCCATCGCGGGATTTACGCTCATTCCACCAGATACGCTCGGTTTGTCAAAAAGCGCATGGAAATCATGGCAGAGCAAAGGCTCCTGCCACGCTGGAACTTGCAGGTTATTCTTCTAAAGAACTATAAGATATTGCTGGGCTTGTGGATTGCCCTTACCTACGCTGCATCAAAATGGAGCCGTAGGTCCGTTTCAAGGGACCATATACACCCCGCGGAATCGCCATAGACAACCCCAAATACAGCGATTCCTGATATGGGGCGCGATGGAGCCTGCAACGCCTAAACCCTGAATCCGAAACTCCCAAAAGGCCCTATATCAACCCTATGAAGTTGGAGTTTCATTTCATCTTCCAGCTTGTTTCCTACGTGATTCTCCAGCGCTTGGGGGGTCTCCAAGGTTTTTGGAAAGCTGCCATAGATTTGTTTGTTGGGGCTATATGTTGTGGTCCCCTATTCATAGCAACTACAGTACCATGTATTCTGGGTTTAGGATTACATTTCGCTCATAGGCCTATAAGGGTCCAGGACTCTGAAAATCCTCGTTTCAGGCACTAAGCACCATTGAGGTAGTGCTACATGGTACCTGAAGCCATCATATTAGAGGCCTCGCGCCGTTAAGGTAGTACGACTCTTATTACTATACTGTTACTATTCTGCTTTTTACCATGAGCCCTTGACCCTCAAACGTATCGTTGTCTTGGAGCTCTTAGGGTCGAGGAGCCTCGTTTGGCCAGATTGATCTTGGCTCTTCTTGTCTCCAAGCCCCCATTTAGATCTAGGATTGAAAGTTTTGTGTTTTAAGGCCGTAAACCCTCAACCCTCAACCAAAAACCGTTTAGGATTTTAAGGTTTACGGATCTGCGGCTTTATCTTCTGTTTTGGGTTTTACCGTGTTAGGCTTCAGGGCTTGAGGAGTTCGCATTGATAGGGCTGACTTCAGCGGTTCTGGGGCATACAGCGTGGCATTTGTACTCTGTTTAGGGCGGGTTATCATAAGGTATACATAGGGCAGCTATAGAGGCAATCTAGGGGTTATATAGGGATAATGGAAAGCAAATGTAAACTACTATTCCTGGGGCTCCATGTGTCCATAAATAATACTTACATTGGGCCCAAAGTCTATAAACATGACCTACATTGGGCTATTTGGAGCCTTACGGTATTAATGGCTCCGCTAAACGGACCTCTCTCTTGCGCGCGCTTCTGCGGAATGTGGAAGAACAGTGATTCTCGACTCTCCTCCAAAATATCTCCCAAAGTTTTAGGGAATAATGGCAAAGAAAGTGGAAACTACTACAAGGTCATCTAAGGGGTACATAAGGTTATGAAAAACCGGTGCCTCAGGAACCTCTGAAAGATGGGAAGCCCCCTAATCCCTACACCCTGACCCCTGAAAGCCCGGGCCCTCCATCGATGATATCCCAAGAGAGGCCTTGCAATGACTACTGTCGATTTAGAAGAGGGCCATATAGTTTAGGTGGACCCCCCACCCTGTAACAGTGAACATGAGGGATAATGGTGATTGTATTAGGGTCTTCTTATATTCCGATTATGCCGCTATTGCAGGGTGCGGGGTCCACCTAACATATAGTAGCTTCCACAAGTAGGAGGATGCCAAAATAGACCCCGACATACTATAATCCTTATTGAAGGACCCCTGGAATGGCACCCTTAATTTACCTTCAATTTTGGGAACGCCCCCCCATTTTGGGGTTCCATGGTTGTTTGGCGGATCTAGGTCTGAGGCTTGAACCATGCAGATTATATTGCGTGCGTCTGGGTCCGGAATTGAAAAGCAGACAGTCAGACAGTCAGACCCGAACAGTAGACAGTCAGACAGTCAGACCCGAAAAGCAGACAGTCAGACAGTCAGACCCGAAAGGCAGACAGTCAGACACTCAGACCCGGCAGGCAGACCGTCAGACAGTGTCTCCCAAGCAAAATTTTTGTAGGTCCGTGAGCAGGCTCCTGCAGGGACCTACCTGACCGTCTGACTGTCTGACCGGCTGCTTTTCGGGTCTGACTGTCTGTCTGCTACGCGGCTCGGTCCCCATGCTGCGACGTCCCAGGGCTCTATTATTATATCGAACAGGAAGACCGGATTGTACAACCCTGAACCCCAAGCCCGAAACTCTTGAACTGTAACCCTAAAAACGGAACCCCCGAATCCTAAATCCTAAGCTCTGAAGCCCTAAATCCTGAAACTGCTGTGAAGTTGCAGCATCAGACCAATCACCAATGCCGCAGGCCTCGCGTTTTCGTGCTGCTAGGGGGTCGAGGGTTTAGTGTAGGTTCAAGGCGTAGTATATAAAGCTCTGGGTTTACTTACAGATCTCGGACCAAAAGAGACCCTAGGGATGTTTCGGAAATAAATAGAGGTTTTCCTAGGGGGCCCTTATTACAATCCAAAGTGCTTCCTTGTTGACAGCTGGCCTTATAAACGCGCATCAACTGTGAGTAAAACAACTCAGGGGTCTGGCGTTTAGAGCTTGTTCCACAAGTAGGAAAACCAATGCCCAGAATGCTGAGGCCTTGCCAAAACCCCAAGCCCAAGAGGGCATGTTCTTAAATCTAGGTGGGAATCAGTGTTTGGTTTCGACGCTGGATCTTTGACCTGTAGCTCCTTGAAACTTTGGATGGGACAGGTGTTTGACAACCTACCGACCCAACCCGAAGTAGGTATAGTCCTGGCCCCAATGCAAAGTTTCCTGGCCGCCGTGGGTGCATGGTCACAAGGATGCGGCTCTATAACCAGCTCTGACCCAAACCCTATAGACCCTAAACCCCAAGCCCTAAACCCTAAAGGTGCTCAGAACCGCACTGACAACCACTACCCACAAGCCTCCAAGCAATGAAAGGCTCCTACTGAGCCCTAACACGGGCTTTGTACCATGTAATTCTGCCATCCCCAACTTCCACACCTCTTGTATACCAACCCTCAGCCCAAGTTCAACACCTTGAGGGTTTAGGGTTTAGGGCGCCTATGGAAACATGGCCTTCCAAAAGAAGCTGGCAAAACAAATCATAAACGATGCAAAGCCATCTTCAACTTCAACCTTTGTGTGGAGCAAAGCTGACACTCATCTCAAAACCAAATGCTCAGCTTGAAAAAGGTGAGACATCACTAAAGGAACACCTTAGGCTGGACCCCAGCCACCCACTACTCGTGATCACGAGGGTCATATTTGTATGTTAATAGTATATATATATATGTACATATGCACACTCCTTGCGTATTACTGTGGCCTTGAAGCAAACGCCAAGTCTTCAAGACCCCCAAGCTGGTTCTTCAGTAGCACAAAGGGTCCATGTAGGTATAGACTATATTAGGGCCCCAAGGTCTTCCCATGCAACTATTTAGGGGCCCAAGTATGTACACCGTAGCTACATGAAGGGATAGTAAGACCTAGAACTTGGTATTTTTTAATGTGTTGACATTGCAAAACATTAAACAAACTCCAGATTCCTCGTTTTCCAACCAGGTCGCGAAACCCTGAACGCTAAGCCAATATGGGATGAATAGCAAATTGCAATGGAAGCTACAAAAGCTTCGCCTGAAATCTATATACCCGGTCATAACCCAGCATTTGAGAAACTGCGTATAAGGAGCGTGCGCTGACCCCACTATCTAGCTAGGGCTTATAGGGTCTAGGATCCACCTGCGCTTGGGGTTTAGGGTCTAGGATCCACCTAGGGTAAATCTGAATCTCAAGCTGCTGAACCCTAAAGCCCTAAACCCGAAGGGTTGTAAACACAAAGGCCCTAAAACCCTAAACCGCCAACCCCTAAGCCCTAAACCCCTATGCCCTGCCTCAAGAACTGTCGAGTTCGCCAACTCATATCTCGGGATGCCTGGAGAAGGCGGAAGGGGCTCACTACAAGGGCTTCCAAAAAAAGGAAATGGAGGGGTTTTCCCAAAAATAGGGGTACCTTCAAAGGGATTATAGGGGTTTAGGGTTTGGCACAATTAAGCATCTTGGGGTCTGTATTGGGGTCCTCTATTTATGGAAACCACTAGATGGGTCTTTCCGGCTAAGCCGTGATCAAGAAACATGTTTGGATTGGGGTATGTTTCGGGGGTATGTTTCGAGGTATGTTTCGGGGTATGATTGGAGGGATGTTTCAAGGTATGTTTCGTAGTACAGGACTCTTGACGAAAAGGACGCTGTGAGGGTATGTATTGGGTATGTATCAAGGTCTGTATTGAGGTATGTATCGGGTATTTATCGGAGGGGTCAAACATGCTTCTTTTCATGGATTCCTGACCCCCGATTAGTGCAAGAAAACGGTACAGATACAGACCAGGGGATTCAGGGTCAGGTCAAAATCGTGCGGCAAACGAAGGTGCACTCATGCGCCTATAACAGGTTGAAACCGCGGGCCCCTGAATGCCCCTAGTATGGCTCTTAACCCCATCCTATGTGTACCCTCAATGGTTCCCATATTGGACGTCTAACCTTAGACTATACTCAGCAACATGATTTACGTAGTACCTTGTCGTCATGACGGTGATTCATGAGCGTTTTGCACTTGCATACATCGCATGAATTCATTGATGCGACGCACGTACTTGCTGATTTTTTGTTGCCGTAGCAGCCTAAGTACCCTAATGATCGGTTCCTTCACTGAAGGCAGCAGGACAGCGAAGCATTTGCAGCTTTGGGTCCAATAACCAACCAGGAGGCTCAGGCAGTTTTGGCTTAGGGGTCTACCTCAAACTTGCATGGCACCCTAAGAGTGGCTATTTGCAGACTTCTTGTTTGGCAAAAGGTAGGGTGTCCATCAGTTTGGGAGCATACGGTGAGTTTGGGAGACTTCGTTTCATGCCAAGTGAGAAGCCACCTGAAGTAGAACCTCGTGCAAGTCCTCTGTGATTTTATGCATACGGGATACTTGAAAAGGACTTCAAACCAAGTTATACTCGGCCCTGGACGTAGAAAGATAGCCATAAAGAATTGAAACTCGAGTCAAATCAGGTCCTAGAACCCAGCTACACATGTACCTCCAAGTACCCATTGGCATCTGCTTCAGACCAGACACCCCCATGCATCCTAATGCCTACAAGTAGCAGAAACAAAGCGACCACTTTCTCAAAATGGGGGTCGGGCACCCTTAAAATATCACGGACAGCACCCCTAACATAGGGACCCCAAAGAAAAGATCAATTTTGGCCCCTTTTTGAGAGCCCAGAACCTCTGTGCTTTCTGTAGATATTGGGAGTTGCTCAAACAAAGGGGGCCCCTAGGGACCAAGAGAATAAGCGGATTGTCAGGTTCCTACTTAAGAGGTTTTATCAGGAGCATGCTGAGAAATACCCATGTCTAGGGGGACCGGAGATACCCACACGAGCTATAGTCTAAACTCCTAGGATCCCTCTTAATATCCCCTATAATAGTCACCCATAGAATCCCCTACATAACCCCCCTTTAGGGAGTTTAGACTATGGCTCAGATGTCTTGAGTCAGAAGGTGCAGCGGAATCCCCAGCCTTGTCCATCGCCGACCTCCTTTGTTCATGGTTTGGGGTTTAGGGTTTAGGGTTTGGGGATTAGGGTTTTGGATTTAGGGTCTAGGGTTTAAGGTTTGGGGTTTAGGGTCCCTCTGTTCTGAAACCCTAGTAAAACTCTAATTTCTATAAACCCTGAGCCCTAGGGGAAAAAAAGGGGATGCCTTTTTGAAGCCCGAGGGTTCCTGAAGATGCCGTTTACTGTACCCTAAGGGTGCATGTACCCAATAATTAGGT